ACATATATGTGAAAAGTGAATAAATCTTTTTTTAAAAGAAATACATTATTTACAGCTATGCGAAAATGTTTATTTTTTCTTCGAGTTTATTATTTTTTGTTTTTTGTTTTCTAAAATGTCATAAATTATTCAGTGAGCCATAGTATGCATTGGTTGCAAAACGCTTTGTATTGCTTTTCTTGATTTGCTTGGTATGTCACTTAACTGGGAAAATAGGAATTGTCTTGCTAAGCCTCGTTAAAACTGAACTCTGGCCAGGTTGTGGTGGTGCATGCCTTTAGTCCCAACACTCAGAAGGAAGAGGCAGGAGGATCTCTGTGAGTCTGAGACCAGCCTGGTCTACAAGGGCTAGTTCCAGAATAGGCTCCAAAGCTACAGAGAAACTCAGTCTAGAAAAAAACAAATCAAAACTTAATTCTGGCCTTATGGTATACTTGATACTTTCATTATTCACTTATCACTTTCTGACTCTAGATTAGAAGCATTTATTTACTTATCTGTGTTTATTATTACATTTAAAGTTTCTGAGACTAGAAAACTACAGCTTCCTCATTTGTATGCCCCACAGATGCAATCATTGTTTAATTATCCGCTCCTAAACTAAAGTGATATACATAGTTGGCTTAGCTCCAAGAGCTTCAATGGCACCCATCAGCTTGTCATGAAAGACCTTTCTTGATGAAGTCCCTGCCTTTGTCCACAGTCTCAACAGCTGTCACTGCCTTCCTCCAGTTTCTGTATTTTCCCATCTCAACCCCATTGTTGTTCTTTTTTTGCCTTTGCACATCCTCTTCCAGCAAAATAAGTTATCATTGACTGCAAGTGAACTCCTCACTATCTTTAAGCCACAATTAATACATTTCTCTCCCCACCCCACTCTTTTTGCCATTTAAATTGAGTCTATCTTAATTTGCAACTTGGATGACAAGGATCTTAAATTTAGTAAGAACAGCTAATTTTCTCTAGAACACATGGGTGACTATTGAGGCAGGCAAGATTAGGAGAGAGTTTATCTAGGTAGGAGGACCTTTTGTATTTGTGTTGCTTTCATTGGTTATTAAAGAAACTGCCTTGGCCTAGGTGATAGGGCAGATCTCAGGTAGGCGGAGAAGACAGAACAGAATTCTGGGAGGAAGAAAGCAGAGACAGGAAGATGCCATGGTTCTCTGCCCAAGATGGATGCTGGTTAGACTCATGCCCGTAAGCCACAGTCAAGTGGTGATACACATTAATGGAGATGGGTTAATCAAGATGTGAGAGTTAGCCAATAAGAGGCTAGAACTAATGGGCCAGGCAGTGTTTTAATTAATATAATTTCTGTGTGGTTATTTCAGGTGTACACTAGCCAGGTGGGATGGAACAAGGTGCCCCACTCCTTGTACAACAGATTGGCTGCCCAATGTGGTCGACTAACTCCATGTAAAACCTGAGAGGGTTTGAAAAGGAATTCTAGACACATAGAATGCTTTTTGCTGTTTGCTGGCGGCATGCCGAAGGGAGATTTTCCTGATTCACTTGTAGTGGGGAAAAAAAGCCATGCAGTTTTAAAATGCCGGCTTTCTGGGCTATGCTCCTAGTACAACCTCTGTCTCTTATGGGAGACAGAGAATTTGGATGGGGTTTTGTGAGTAAAGTGCTACGGCTTGCTTGATGGCAATGTGGACTGCTGTGTGCTGGAACTGTGCACATCTTAGACGCACCAAATGGCTCTGAGGCACGAGCGGCACTGCCATGCTGAACTGTGCTGACCTCAGGCAGGAACTATCATAATTGTCATAATAACAGCACAGTTAAGGTTTAGACAGGGCAGGAATAAGGCAGTACCATGTTACCCCTACATGGCGCAAGCTAAAGTTTTTAGAACTGCTTAGCATTTTAAGAAGTGCTCCTGGATAGTAAAGAATTACAGATTCACAATAGGACAGATTCAGACATAAAAGACCTCTAAGTGGGTCACACTGTTGGATGGCTGTACATAGGCTTGGGAGAGAGAAGAAAAAGAGTATAGAGAGTCATAAAACAAAGTTAATGCCTTAAAAAGGGGGTAAAGTCTTTAAAGAGACAGAGTACAGATAGTCATAGATTAAAAGAAGTAAAGAGAAATAAGCCACATAAAAATGGAAAATTCACAGAGAGTCTGGGTTATGTGTATTATTGTGTTTTCTTTAAAATTTTTGACTGTGAAGGAGCTAAGTACAGAGAGACATCTCATTATATAGGCTGCCAAGCTAAACCAGCACGCATATTATAAAGGTATCTTGACTTCAGAATTTGGGTATAAGGATATGATGCTTTGGAAAAGAAGGTCTTCTTTTGTTTTCACAGAGGATGAGACCTTGTGGATTACTTCTAGACCAATATGGTATGATAAACCACGCCCTTCTGAAAGGTTGCAGTAAATTCCCTCAAAAACTTACTTTTCTCAACTGCCGACCAAGATGATCATAGCATACAGGATATACCATGAAAGACCTGATTAACAGCATCCCCAAACAGCATGAAGCAGTTTGGAGAGAAAAAAACATGCCCATATTCCCAAATATTGTTTATAAATGTTCTTTTACATTTAAAGGGGGAGATGACATAGATATGGTTAATTTGCATTGGTATGAATCTTGGTTTGTTGATATAAATTTAAGGTCAATTTTGTTATATGTATATGTATTTCTGATCTTGATTAAGGTATTGTGATTGTGTAGTTCATTTAAAAATGTAATGTACAATTAGGAAATATAGGTTATGGATAATCATCGATAATATTCAAACTTGAAGTCATGTTAGTTAGATTTTCTAGATATATAGAGATATATTTCAGTTTGATAGGCATTCTTCATATCTTTCAAAGACCACAGAATATGACATTTAAGATGTTTTAATAATTTAGGGCTTTTCGTGACAATGAGACACGTCTGCTCCTGGCAACACCAATCTACTTCAAGAGGAAGATGGGCATCGAAGAGGCTCCTTATGGAGTTGGTTAGCCATTTGGGCAAGAAACTGCTCTTTCCTGGACTGTTGCATAAATTGGACATAAAGAACCCACAGAGAGAGGACTGCTGAACTTGCCTAAAGGTGAGATGGTCCTTCGGGGTTCCTGCTTCATGAAAGAGTCTGTGAGACAATCTGCAGAATACAGAAGAAAGTGACTGAACTGTCTTTGAATTTTCCTGCTTCATGGACACAGGCAGACACCATGGTTCTCCTGCCCTAGACGAACACTGGTTAGACTCATGCCCGTAAGCCACAGTTGAGTGGCGATACACATTAATGGAGATGGGTTAATCAAGATGTGAGAGTTAGCCAATAAGAGGCTAGAACTAATGGGCCAGGCAGTGTTTTAATTAATACAATTTCTGTGTGGTTATTTCAGGTGTACAGTAGCAGGGCGGGATGGAACAAGGTGCTGGGTTCCTCGTACAACATTTATGTTAGAATCCCAATTTGGTTTGGGGTTATATACATATCTCCTCTTACAATAGTGCACTTGGCAGCTTTGTTCCTTTCCTGCATTAGCACACACACATACACATACATGTACACAAATACACACATACACACACCCACACGGGCACACATAAATGCTCAAAATATTTCACCTAGCACTTCAGAACCCCTTTAACCTGCCCCCTAGCAGTCAAGTCATATGTACTTCCATCTGTAAATCATAATGTCTTTTCAGCCTTAGTAACAATCACATTTAAACTGTTCCTATTCAAGTATATTCCCAGTGTTTGGGGTATAAGAATTAGAAGGGCCAAGCCAGCCTGAACTGGTTTGGGCTGCTGGCACAGGTAAGGGAAAACCCGAGAATCTCGTATTTTATGCTTGTGCATATAATTTTAAACCAGATGCATTACAGGAAGGGACATGAGCAGTAGAGATATGATGATGTGACCTATCAATTAAAATACAGAATCACCCATACTAGTAACCAGCCCCTCCTATCTTTGGACCTCTTGAAATCAGAGACCCATACTGTAGACTGAGGTCCTCGGTACTCTCACTCATGTGGCCTGCTATCCCCCTGCAAGTTGCACTATAGCTTTGCTCCAAAATAAAACTATTTGGCTTTTGCAAATTTGCATGAGCCATATTTCCAATTCTTTGGATAAGAGGGCCAAGAAATACCCAGCTCAGACCACACCACTGAGGTCTGCTAAAAGTGGGAAGTTTTAAATAAACATTTTAGACAATCAGTCGCATTGCAGAGTGAGGAAGTAGATTAGAAATGGCTGTCTGTCACTCCATATCCAGGGAATCCAACACCCTCACAAACATACACACAGGCAAAACCACCAATGCACATAAATCAAACGAAGAAAAGACAAAACTGACTCTAGGCAATTAGTTAGGTATTTAGAATCAGTAGAAGTGACGCAGACCTGATTTGAGGTCATAGCTGTGGGACTAGAAAGGACTTAAAGGACGTGGCACAGGAGAGGCATCAGGAGTAAGCAGCCTACTGGAGGCAGTGACTGAGAGTTTGGGTGAAGGAAAGGCTGGTTCCTGATTTCTGACTTCACTCTGGCTGGTGACAAACCGAAGGACGGCATTGGGGTTGTCTGTTATCTGTGTATCCTCCAACTAGTCCGAAAGATCTCCTTCAGGGATCTTTTCTTTAGGTCTTTATCAGCGTTCAAAGAGGAGCAATTAAAATTAATACGTTCAAAATACTAAGCAGCAACTCTGAGCCAATGAGAGCTATAGCCAATCTCAGAAAGCCTACAGACACCATTTCTTGTTTGTTTATTATTTTAGTTTTGGTTTTGCCTCCAGTAACAAGAAAAGGAATTAGACCAAAAGCGCTACTCCCAACTTGCTTTCGCTCCATTGTACAACTAGGAAGCTGACAATAAAGTTTATTTGAGCGTCGACGTGCCCCGACGTGGCCCCGCCTCCCCAGCAGCAGCGCTGATTGGCGAGAGCTTGCAGGCCTCATGCGTTCCTAAGCCGCGATTGGCGCCAGCTGCCGTCCGTCCGGAGCGTCGGGCGCCGCCCCGCCCTCTCGCCGCGTTGCCGGTGCCTGCGCCGCCCGCCTCACTCCCTTGTGTCCCGGCAGAGGCCCGGGCGGCCAGCACGAGCACCGGCGACCATGTTCCGACGCAAGCTCACGGCCCTGGACTACCACAACCCTGCAGGCTTCAACTGCAAAGGTGGGCGGCGGCCGCGGGGCCCGAAGACGCTGCCTTCCCAGCCCGCCCGGATCCGGCGGCCGCTACCCCGCCGACCGCGGCACGCTTCCCGGCCCGACGGCTGCTCTGCGGGCACCTTTTGGGGCAGCAGGGCAGGGCCGGGGGGCCGGGGAGACCTATGGGGCGTGCAGAAAGTTAGTGGCCGGCTGCCGGGGGGGGGGGGGGGTTCCAGAAAAAGACACTTGGTTTTAAAGTCCTGCCGGCCAGTGGGAGTTGAGTGTGGCATGGACCAGGGCCTTATTTCGCTGTACAGGACGCATAGGTAGAAGGCAGTTTCTAAGCCGGGTCAACGTTTGGTCTCTGGAAGCGTATCAGGGTCTATTCTGGTTTTGTACTTGGTTTTTGACGCAAAGTTTAATGGGCGGTGTGGTGATAGGTCCGAAATTGGGGTTTGAATCTCAGCTCTCTGACATGTGAAATGAGAATCTTTCCTGAGTGTGTTAGGGAAAATCTAAGGAAGCAAAGGCATCCCAGAAATAGTATACTGTCTCCTAGCTTTCAGTTTTTAAATATTTGTGTTCGGGGTGCTGTAATGTTTTTTTCTTGTTTACTCTGTTGACTTGCTTCTAACTTTTTACCTGTCCAGTGCCCCTCATACTCTGAAGGAACTAAGGTACACTGTTTCATGCATGTTTAGTTCATTTAATGCTAAAAACAGCCCCATGCAATAAACCCCATTACTATCATCTTTTATCTGAACAATCTGAAACTTAGAAAGTGTACCCAGTTTTCTGAGGTACACCCAGAATTTGAGTGTATTGCAGTGAATCTGTGGCTCCAGAGTCTGAACTTTGAACACTTGCTTACTTCTATTGAGGGTAGGGGATGGGGTGGAGTGGGATGGGTCAGGTCAGTTGACTTAGTGTTTGCAGGTGGGAAAGTCACGGAGAATCGCTAGGACTCTTGAGTTGATATGTGATGTTTTTGTTGCAGATGAAACAGAATTTAGAAACTTCATTGTTTGGCTTGAAGACCAGAAAATTAGACACTACAAGATTGAAGACAGAGGTAACCTGAGAAATATCCACAGCAGTGACTGGCCCAAGTTCTTCGAAAAGGTAATGAACCAGGAAGAAAAAGAGGGCATGAAGTTGCGTTGAAAATTCTTATATTCTTTCAAGATATAATAGTGATCAGTATCAGTAAAGCGAATTTCATGGATTTCAAATTTTGCTCTTTTGATTTTTAAAGCAAATTATATTATCTCTCACCATGTTTAACCTAAGTACTAAACTTGGTGGGAAGATATTCCTTAATAGGGCTACCTACTCTAATTTTTATGTATGCGTATGTGTTTGTTGGGTATCCACAGAGACCAGAAGAGTGTATCAGATCTCCTGGAGCTGGAGTTATATTAGACACAAAAATGCAGGAATGTATTTTTTTTTTTTTTTTTTGGTTTCTTTCTAGCTTTAGAGCCTGTCCTGGAACTAGCTCTTGAAGACCAGGCTGGCCTTGAACTCACAGAGATCCACCCGCCTCTGCCTTCCAAGTGCTGGGATTAAATGCAAGTGCCCCCACCCCTGCCCGCGATAAGCATGTACTTTTGAGAACTTGTCTGAGTTACTTTTCTGTTGCTATGAAGAGACACCATGACTGAGGCAACTTATAAAATAAAGCATTTATTTGGGGACTTGCCTACAGTTTTGGAGAATGGGAAACATGCTAGCAGGCGGTCAGCCATGACACTGGAGCAGTAACTGAGAACTCATCTCCTTATCCTCGAGTAGGAGACAGACAGAGCTACCTGGGAATTGTGGGGTAGAGTAACTTTTGAGACTTCAAAGCCCACCCCCAGTGACATAACTCCTCCAACAAGGTGTGGCCTAATAAATCCTTCCCAAACCAGTTCCATCACCTGTGGACCAAGCATTCAAATATACGCGCCTGTGGGGTCATTCTCATTCAAACTGCCACAGTACTCTTATTAAAAGATGTAATTGACATGCCTGAACACTTGAAACTGTCATGCTTATTATAGTTAGTATATAGAAGTCCCCGTATTTGATAGAAGTGGTTCTAAAAAGCTCTGTATGGATGTTTTTGTGACTAGAATTAGATTTTCTATTGATTTATTTTAATTTTAGTAATATTTTTGCAGAAAAAATTGTTTTGAAAACTCAATAAAAATATCACCTCATTATAATGCCAGCGAATGGGAATGACATTGGCACCAGCCTCCTTGTATTGTTCATGAGCAATATACCTGACAGGCCTGTCCCCACAGGTGCTCACCCACAGCAGGGCCCACACACATATTGTCACTGCCACTGCTTCTGTTGGTTTGTTTTTGTTTAACATTAAACTTTTTTTTCAATTTTTTAAAAAGATTTTAAAATATAATACTAGTGTTTTCTGTTTATTTACTTGTCCTATGCACCTGTTCCTTCATGTAAAAGGTACAAATGATGGAAAGTATGCAGAGATTAAAGATAATTGCTTATATAAAAGACCCAGACTCATAGTAAGATAAAGATAAATCATTACTCACCGAAAGACTATCAGGAACCTCATTGTTTAAGACATATTTGAAAACATCTATTGGGTGGTTAACCTCTAGATTTTAAGTTGCAACTTGTATTTTTAAAATATTTTAGTACTGACAAGTTTGTTTAATTTTGATTTTGGTTTTTAAGACAGGGTTTCTCTGTGTAATAGCCTTAGCTGTTCTGGAACTCTCTTTTTAGACCAGGCTGGCCTCAACTCAGAGAGATCTGCCTGCCGCTAGTGCTGGGATTAAAGGTGTGCACTACCTCGCCCAACTCTAACAAGTGTTTTTTGATCTTGGTCAAATCTTGTGAATGAGAGTTAGTTGGTTTATTAAAGAAATAAAATCTTTGGTTAGAAAATGAGTTGTGACTAAAAAGTATCAATTCATAAATTATCCCTGAAGTTTTGACTGAAAACTTTGTTGCTAGGATGCATTTTCAGCTTCTAAGAATCTGAAGGGTCCTCTCATTTGCCTAGCAAATACTTGGCTATAGCCAACACACATGTTCCATAACTTGCTCTGTTAAGCATTTGTTATGACATTCATATATGAAAGTTAAAGTTCTAATAAGTGACTGAATTGTCTGTCCTTCTTTTAACGGATTTTTATCATTTTATCTAATTGCCTTGTGCACTGGGCCTGGAATCAAAGCTAAGGCTTTGGCCTCACATCTAAGTTGTATAGTCACTGTTGAGTATCAGATTTTTCTAGACCGCAGGTTTCTTATCTAAATGATGTTATTCTTGAATCCAGCTGTCCTTCCTGGGATCTCCCAATACAAACTTTTTTTTAAGGGAGTATTTCATTGTTTCACTTAAAATGATACTCTTCAATGTTTTCTTCTGAGCTGTGCAATCACATCAGAGGTTTAATAGTAATAGAAGTGGGATGCACACTGTAACCCTCGTACCTGGGAGGTGGAGAGAATCAGGAGTCCCAAGCCAGTCATGTGTATCTGGACTCCAAGGCCAGTCTGGGCTGCATAAGGCACTCTCTCAAACAATTAATGATATAGATGTTATAAGAAATTCCTAAAGATCCATATTGAGGCCTGTGTCAAATCTGCTATTCTTTAGTACTGTGGCTGTATGATAATGAAATCCATTTTTTTTCCCCTTCCCTTCGCAGTATCTCAAAGATGTTAACTGTCCTTTCAAGATTCAGGAGCGACAGGAAGCAATTGACTGGCTTCTTGGTTTAGCTGTTAGACTTGAATATGGAGATAATGGTATGTTTTGTGGGGAATGTGAGTGTGGGTGTGTTAAAGGGTCCTGCCTTCTGTTCTCAGCGGCATGGGCCGTTGACTAATTTCTGAAATGGGCTTTAGAATGCAGCTTCTATCTAACCACCAGCTCTAGTCACACTTCTCAAGCATTATCAGTTTCCCTTCCTTGGAACTATAAACCATGCAACCTCAGTCTTGCTAATGTTTAGGGTCTTTAGAGTGTTTTCTGTTTCCTTCTCTGGGTTGGTAGCAACTGTGTGGGAGGTCATTAGCTATAGATTATCCTTGGGATCTTAGACCTTATCAAAGCTGATCTTCGGCTGCTCCCACGTGGATTCTTATTCATTCACCTTGCCTTTTCTCATTGCGTTTGTGCCTTCAGTGTTGGTGGCTTGTGCTGTATCCCCACAGTTGATTAGCATATGCATTCATTTCTCAAAAGCTTATGTATGAAATATGATAGTTTTATATTGCAAAAAGGAAAGAGTTGAAAGACAAATAGTATCAAAAGTGTATTAAACATCTAAACTACACAACAGGCTATGTTTAATTTCCAGTTTTCAGCATTGCAGGAGCAGGAACTCCAAGCTAACTAAGGCAGCAATACTGGCCTTCATCAGCTGGAGGCATTGGTGTTCTTGACTTAGAACTTAAATCTGTTGAATCATTGCCATTTTTTGTGTGCCTTGCCATTACTAAAAACCCTTGCAATCACATGCCAAAGTGATTAAAATCTTTTCAATTTCACTACTTTTTAAAGTTTAGATTCATGGGAAAATTATAACAGTAGAGAGAGTTTTCTTATATGAAGATATGAGAAGCCATTTTTGGCATTAAGTTTATTCATTATTTCTTTTAAATATTTTGAAGTGAAAACAAAATGCCTTTAGAATTTTTAATTTTCATGATATGTTCTAATTTGTGTATGTTACTACACTTTACATGGTTTTGAGTTGAAAGCAGTATTTCAGTTTTGAAAAGATTTGGGGGAAATTTTTACTTTCCACCTAATGTTCTTTTTTAAAGCTTGGGACAGATTTTGGCCAAGTTGCCCATAGTATCACTGAATTTGATATGTAGTTCAGGCAGTCCTACAATTTGTGACCCTCCTGCTTGACCTCTGTGACTGGGGCCACAGGTATATTGCCACCTCGCCCTGCTTCTGTTTAATTTTAGGTAATTCATGTGTATGTGTGTCCCCGTCCATTCTTCTGTCCTAAATTTAACAGCAAGGTATAAAAGACTTTATTTCCTAAATGTTAGATGTTGAAATGTATTTCGCAAAGCTTATGCCTGTAATCCAAGCGTTTGAGAGGGTCAGGGTTCAGGGCCAGCTTTAGCTCAGAAACTTGTATCAAGTAAAAGCAGGTATTTTAGGTGAATCAAAAAGTTACTTCTCTTTCTTTAGTTTTTGTATATAAAGTATAATTTTGAGTGGATGTCACAATGGTTCAGCTAAATTCAGTAAACAATAGTTATTTTAACCTTAAGTTGCCTGTTTTTTATAGCTGAAAAATACAAGGACTTAGTACCCGATAACAGGAAAAATACTGACAACACAGCTAAAAATGCAGAGCCATTGATCAACCTGGACGGTGAGTATGTGATACCCACAGGCGACAGTCTTGGTTTTGTAAATGCTTTCTACTTCTAGAATGAAGACTGGTGTAACTTAAGTCAGTGCTTGAGATGAATGGCACTAACTGTGTTATTTCCTGTATTTTATTGTCAGTTCTAGTATGCTTTTTTCTCCCCCAACCCCCTCACCATTGAATATTTGAATGTTAAAATGCAGGTGGTTTTTTGCTCCAAATATTTTGGATTTTGATTTCTTATTCATTGTGCCAGTTATTGGTCACTTTCCTGACTGTATAATTTATTTTTTTTAATCCAGTGACAAATGATAAAATGTTTCATTATTTCAAGTCCCACGTGCACTTTTAGTAATTCCCTTTTAAGGTGTTACATTTAAAAAATTCCCTAGAGTGTGGTGTGTTGAATATGCTTTCATCGACTTATTGACTGTGACCCGTGATATAAGTTATTCTTAGAGTGAACGAGCTTCTTACACACTCCAGAGCCACTGTACACAGAAAAGCATTGGGAAAACTACCCACTGAAGCATCTACTTTTGTTTTTGTTTATTTGTTTGTTTTTGAGACAGAGTTTTTCTATAGCTTTGGAGCCTGTCCTGAAACTAACCCTTGTAGACCAAGCTGGCCCCCAACTCAGAGATCCGCCTGCCACTGCCTCCTGAGTGCTGGGATTAAAGGTGTGAGCCGCCACCACCTGGCTGAAGGCATCTATATTAAAATTAATAGCTTTGGGAAGAAACATTAATTAAAAGTGTCTGTAAATGGGCCTTGCAGACCACTCCAGGGCAGGCTTAGTGTTAAATTGGCCATTTGTTAACTTGGCTTGATCAGGCTAGTGCGGTTGGTAAGGAGACTTTGCACCCGTTTTCCTCACTGTTGGCGTGGTGCACTGCTTTGTGGCTTTCCTTGAAAGCAGCAAAAAGACTGGGGATGAGTCTGTCCCAGAAAGTTGGTATTTTTGTAAGCTCATATGTTCAGATAAGTAATTATGATGTTCGCAGAGCTGTAAGGTTTATGTTTATTCATTTTTAATCTTTTATAGTAAATAATCCTGATTTTAAGGCTGGTGTCATGGCTCTGGCTAACCTTCTTCAGATTCAGCGTCATGATGATTACTTGGTAATGCTTAAGGTAAGGTGCCCATGTTATTCTTGACAGAAACTACATATGTAGAAGAATCTTCACTTTTCTGAAAGCTGTCTGTTTTTACCTAAGTTTATGATGGGCTGATAAATAGAAATTCAAAAGAATGTGGGACCGAGAGCACACATCATTATTTTATCTGTTTCACATTGTCTGGTAGGAAGCTGGTATCCCAGCATTAGATGTATGCACACCAATGTGTTTTGTCTTTGCAGAAATAAAATTTCACTCAGTCCTAGTAATAATCTTTCTGAGAAATACTTAAAAAAAAACCAAGAAAACAAAAAACAGTGAGAGTTGGCTCGGCTGGTAGAGTGCTTACCACGGAAGCCTAAGGACTGATTTTGGAACTCAATACACACATTAATAAACAAGCACAAAAATTTCTTCTGGGAAGGCAGAGACAGGTGGATCCCTGGGGCATGCTGCTGGCCAGCCATTTGAGCCATATCAGTGTGAGCCATCTCACACTGGTCATTGCCCTACTTTTACTTTTGACAGATATATAAAGGCAATTTAGTAGAGAAAGGCTAGTCTGAAAAAGGGTGAGAACAACTGGTAGACACCCAGCACCAGCCTTCAATCTCCATGTGATGTTCACCCATATGTACAAGTACACATGAGTGTGTACACACATACCTCAAAGCAAAAGAAAAAAAAAGCTTATTAAGAAACTAAGACCTGCTGGACAGTGGTGGCCCATGCCTTTAATCCCAGCACTCGGGAAGCAGAGGCAGGTGGATCTCTGTGAGTTCAAGACCAGCCTGGTCTACAAGAGCTAGTTCCAGGACAGGCACCAAAGCTACAGAGAAACCCTGTCTCGAAAAAGAAAAAAAGGAACTAAGACCTAGAAGAAGATAACAAACATCCAAGACATAGACAGTTGTAGGGCCATCTTTGTTCAGTCGGGTGAGAGTGTGTGTTGTTGAGGAAGGGGGAAATGCCAAATCACTAATAGTGAACTTAGCCACACAACAAGACCTCTTTGGGAAACAATGCTCTCGTCTTCAGCATCTTCCACTTCTAGATAAACTATGCAATTTATACTTCTCCATCAAGAACCACAGCTCCCTGAAAGAGTGTTATTTTTGAGAAAGGAAAAGCATTCCGTAAAGTTACTGCTGTAAACATGGAGTGGAGTGGGGCAGGAAGATGCAAATGGTGATTAGATATTGTTGGATAACTGCTGATGTAGGAGATGGAAAGCTTTGAGAGTGAAGGTCACTATAAATCACTTTGTAGTAAGTTGAATAGACTTCCCTCTATGCAGAAGGGATTATTATTTATCCTACTTATTAGAATTATATGGGTTATGTAGACAGTTTCCACAAAGAAATTAGTATTCTTAGCTTATTAGAATATTTATGTTGTATCTGAATGGATTTTCTCAGACCAGCTTAGATGCCAAAGACATCAAGTTGTTGCTAGTTAAATTTAGCTGTTTCAAAGTTTTATTTGCTTAGTCCAGTATGCAAATTTTATTGGGGCAGTCCTACAGTGGTCACATCAGCTTTAGTCATAAACTAAGGGAGAGGAGAAGCAGATAATGCAGTGTATTTGGGTACTTTGGCCAAACTTTGAAAATCCAGGTGTATGTGGCTATAACAAAGTTTTGTGAAGTCCTAGGTCTAGATACATATTTATCTTGTTAGGCATTCACATAGTTGTGATACTATAGAAGTTTTCTTAGATTTACCAGGCACAAAAGTCAGCATATTAAGGGCTGATGTAGTTCAGTGGTAGAGTGCTTGCTTGGTCTGCATTAGAGTTTGGATCCAATCCCAGCATTGGGGCAGGGGTGAGCGTTTGTGTATTAGTGGTCTGGTAAAATAGTAAGCAAGGTGTTTTTGGGCTTTCTAGGCAATTCGCATTTTGGTTCAGGAGCGTCTAACACAGGATGCAGTTGCTAAAGCAAATCAAACGAAAGAGGTATGTGTGTTTCTAAGATACTAAGCCATCTAATGGAAATTCCTTCAGGTATTGCGGTGCATTCACACTTAGTGTTTTCTTAAGATAACTGGGCAGGTATGGTAGCGCACACCTTTAATCCTAGCATGCAGGAGGCAGAGGCAAGCAGATCTCTGAATTTGAGGCCAGCCTGGTCTATAGAGTAAGTTCCAGGACAGCCAGAGCTACATAGAGAAACCCTATCTTGAAAAACCAAAAGAAAAAGATATTCATTCTCTTGGAACAGGAGAAAGAGTAGCTGACTTATGTGTGAATTGAATTTGATTCTTAAGCAAATTCAGTGTATTCAGTGACTGAGGTTCAGACAGATGGGTGAGCAGAGAATTTGTCTATTCACATTTCACATTCTAGAGAAGCCCAGTCATCCATTCACAGTCTGCAAACTGAGACATGTGCCCACTAGAAATGTGCCTTGTGAAATGGATTGGATTGTTTGGATGTGTGGTAGGTAAGAAAGGCAGGACACACCACTGTCCTGTCAAGTCTAGATACCATCCTCACACTTGTGAGTCTTTGTCATTTAACTCACTTTGTTCAGCATGCCATAACAACCTCCCCTTGAAGAATGCTATTGGAATATTTTTTAACCATGTTGTCAATTCAGAAATCCCTGGTAATGCCAGAGGTGTAGGTGTAAGCATTTAATCCTAGCACTAGGGAGACAGGAGATCTCTGCGACTCAGGGCCAGCCTCGACTACGTAGTAAGACCCTCTCTCAAAAAAAGGAAAAAAAGGGAAATCTCTCCAAAGTGACAATGCAGAGAATGTTCTTGGGTAAGGGATAGGAGCTGCAGTTGCCAATAATGGTCCTTTCTTACTACACAGATGTTGAAATGAATGCTCTGTGCCTGCCCCCACCCCCATTCCCTCTCTCAAGTCCTGCAATGCCCTTTGTCCTCTGACCCCTTTAGCAAGTGCAGCAGTAATGAAGGGCTGCTGATCCCGGGCAGTGCAGTGTAGGTGCCTCTGAAAGACACTCCACTTCCTACTAAAGGTTCTTACTAGTTTAACTATGTATAAATTGGCCACTGTAAATTGGATCAAAGACCAGCCTATTTTACCCACACTATAGAACAAGCAGCAAATTGTTCTGACATAATAGTCATTCATTCACCAAAATGATGGCAGTGCGAAACAGTGCTGAGCCTCAATTCTGCTTTTGTTGCAAAGTAGAATCTAGCTTCATCTTGAGTGCTACAGTTTGTAACTTCAAATCACAAACTGGTCTGGGTAGCCATTCCTGACTAATATTTGAGGGCTATAGTTGATGTCAAGGGTAGCTGTCCCTTGATAGTCTGTTGGCAGGTAAAGAACGCCAGTCTGTGGTACCAGGTGATAACACAGCCAATCAGGACAAGTCTACTCCTACATTCATTATATAAGTTATTAGTCCTGTTACTGGATGCAGGTGCTAATGAGTTGGAAAATTAAGCTGTTTGACTAAGATCATATCAAAGTAACTTCTTGTAATAAAACATTAAATATATAATCTGTTAAGTTGACTGAAGAAAACTGTATGTTTTATATATGTTTGTATATTTTGTAGTATCATTTGTAATCTAATTTGTGTAGTACTTGCTTAGCTCTTGGTCCTCCTTCCTGAGTATCATCAAGTGCCTTTTGCAGTTAAGGACCCTTACAGGCCTGGCTTAAAAAGTTGGGTGGACTTTAGTGTCTCTGGTACATTTGAAGAGCACTCTTTCCTGGGTGGTTGTAACACGGAAAGCCAGTTCTTCACAGGGTAACTTGTAACAGTCCCTGAATAGCAAGCAACTCTTTAATTTCAAATGAGAAAAGTGACTCTTAACTAAATAGTCTTTTTTTGTCATTATTTTTTAAAAGGGCTTACCTGTTGCTTTAGACAAACATATTCTTGGCTTTGACACAGGAGGTAAGTTATTTTGCTTTAAGTCAAGCTATATTGAGGGGCTTGTTCTGAGGTGTACGGGGGTGGCTGGAGGCGCAGAAACCACACACACACACACACACACACACACACACACACACAGATGCAGTGTTCTTGTCTTATAACAGATGCAGTTCTGAACGAAGCGGCTCAGATCTTGCGATTGCTGCACATAGAAGAGCTCAGAGAGCTACAGACGAAAATCAATGAAGCCATAGTAGCTGTTCAGGCAATCATTGCTGACCCAAAGACAGACCACAGACTGGGGAAAGTCGGAAGATGAGCACATCAGGATTTCAGCTTCTCGCCTGCCTAGTGTGATGGGAACCATGTGCATCGGCATGTGTTTGGAAATCAAATGTCACATTTTCGAGGGAGGAATCCCAGGAAATTGGCCATGTTCTAGAGATTTACCACCATTGCTTTTTTTTTTTCTTTAATAAAGTTGGGGAAAGTAACTTTTTGTTTTGCTTTGAAATAATGTACCCTGTTTCTGTAATTTTCGTGCATCCTCCTTTATGGTTAGAGATTCATCCCAACCATGACTTTGTCCTGGAGACAGTATCGATCTTTAGACCATTAGAAATCTTTAAAATATTTTATTGGATTTATATAGAAAATTTAAGAACTGCTACATCTTTGGTGTTTTACATGGAATACTTTGAGGAATGCTTCTGTCGAGGCACTTAGGGGATCAGTTAGCACCTTTAATATAAATAAAGTGAGGACTTCTGCTGGGAAGTATGAGCAGCCTGGGCCATCCTGGTGATCATCATAGTCTGTTACAGGGCTCTCAGACGACTTGAGGAGTACATTTTCATAACCAGCCATGTGTTTTTACTTTTCTTGGATAGGTAGAATCCATGGCAAAAATCAGATTTAGTGTCTTAAGCTCTTGCTAGGTCTTTGTTGAATAAATTTGGTCTTTTAAATAAGTGTTTACAAAAAGTTGCTTTAATAAGCAATGACTAAAATTCTTTAAACTTCTGATAACCTTTGTTTTTAAAAAATACAGTAGTAATGATTGAGGTATACACTTCACAAAATATACTTAGTCTCGCTGCACTAAAAATGCTCATCTTGTGTGCCTAGAGCTCATAACGACCAATTCCTTTTCCACTGCCTTTGCCTTTGTAGTAAATGTTCTTAGGTCAAGAGTCTTGTAAACTTGAAATCCTCCTATACATTTGTGTTCATTTTCTTCCTGTGAGGGAGTGGACAGCAGTGAACGTTTCGTTAATTAAGCAGCATAGGAAGGCAATGCTGGCAGAGTTACCATTGCCCTCTCCCATCCCTTCTCCACCCGCCTGGACGAAGGACATCATGATGTACCCTGATGACCTTACCTGTTGGACAGTAGGGGTAGACTGCAGTGATCCCATAGAGGTGAGACCGCTGCTCGGGGAGATACTCATCGGTAAATTGACCACTGTCTTTATTCACTGATATGACACCATCCCTGGTAAGAGGAGAGGCAGTCAGGGCCAGTCACAAGATAATCTTTTAGTAGGCAACAATTTGCCTACTAAAAGCAAACAATTCAGCTAAATGAGTTTTGGTTCAGTTTGTCTAAAACCAGTGACTCCGGACATAGCTCCTACACCAGTATCCTGAGAACTTCCATGAAATGCAAATGTTGTTTACCCTTCCTGGCCCTTCTAAGTCAAAACCCTGGAATAGCATGCAGAATGTATTTTTTAACATTTTGTAGCCATAAGAGCTGATGGCTACTTCCCAGAGGTCTAAATCTCACGTGAAATAGTAGGGAGGTGAGGAAAAGTACTCAGACACGCAACTTTGTTTTCTTTTCAAGGTCTTCTAAGCTCAGAGCCAAACAGTATTTCTCGGTCTTTAAGGCAGACAGTTGATGTTATTTTTCTTATTTTTTGTTTTTTCAAGACACGGTTTCTCTGTGTAGCCTTTACTGTCCGGTAGACCAGGCTAGCCAAAGAGATTCACCCATCTCAGCTTCCTGGTGTTAGGATTAAAGGCATGTACCACCACGCCCATCTTGTTAATGTAATTTTTTAAAAGGAAAACTTAAACTTTATACCACTTAAAAGTATTCATTCTCTAAGAACAGATTTAAATAAATGTTTCTTTTTAAGTAGTATATTACCAAATATCTTAGACTTATATGCTCCCTGCAAGCATCACTAGTAAACTTCAGGACGATGTGGAAGGAGGACTTCAAAAATAGGTGTCTATTTTGAAGGACAGACAGCTCAACAGGACTTCCCAACTAGAACTGCTGACTGGTAAAACAGCATGCTCTGCTCTCCAGAGTGAGGCTCACCTCCGCCAGTCTGTATGGTAAAAGTGATCTGCATAGCTGACGATACTGAAGGGGTAATTGAGATGATTTTGGATGACACGCCGTCCGGTTCCATCAGGTAGTGTACATTCCAGTTTCTTGGTTCCTTTTAAGATATCCAAGGGGGAAAATGAGATGCCAGATAGAGTCTTCAAGGAGAACAGAGGCAGAATTTAAAAATGGGGCATTTTACTCCCACTATAGTCGACGTTTGCAACTGTAAATTCATGTCTACTTGGTGCAGCAGAACCTAAATCCTTTTATGGAAGAAACAATGCAATCTATTGAAATCTTCCAGTTTCTTCCCAAGAAGGGGGGGGGGGGGATAAATCTACATTTATAGGTTGAAACATAACATCCAGTTTGACCAAAATCCTTACATACTTGTAAATTCTACGTAAGAAAATGAAAATAGTAGTGGGTAGTTTTATACGGAAACGAGTTCAGTGGAAAAAAAGAATTTTCACGTTCCAGATTTCTTATTAAGAAGTCTAAATTTCATATACCTTTTAAAAAACATAGTGTTTAGACAGCTGGATTGTAAAATACCCAGCTGCATATTCTGCAAATTGAAGAACCTTTATTTTCTTTAGTAGAATGAGATACGGTATCTTTATTTCCTTTAGTAGAATGAGATACGGTATCTTTATTTCCTTTAGTAGAATGAGATACGGTAACTGAGTTTTCCAGTAATACACAGGATGCCACAATAGACAACCTGGCGTTGATGCATTCCTGAAAGAGGCCATTCTCTTACAGCACGTGGCAAAGGGTCATAGCACACAAAGTGAGAAAAATCTTAAAGAGTTAAACTGTAATGGCCCAGAAGGTAGACCAACCCGAGTTCATGCAAACTTGAAAGTTTTCCAGGTGTCCACAGCAGGGGCAGGGGCAGGACAGACTTGCTCCAGTCAGGCTCCCCTTTGAACTCCACTGTAAGAATCCCTGCACCATGTTCTTCTAAAGCTTACAGATCTGGCAAGTATGTTAGAAATTTATACCAAAAGATCTAAAAGATGGGCAAATCCCCAGAGCGCTTGCACTGCTGCGAGGAAGGCCATCATTCTCAAGGTCACCAGTATTACCTGCATCTGCCCAGCACAGCAGTTTGGAGAAGGGATCAAAGGTTAACCCATTGGGTAATCCAATATCTTTGTTGATCAGAATTCTTCTGTTTTCTCCATCTAAAGACGATGTTTCAATTTTAGGAGCTTCTCTATTCCAGTCTGTCCAGTACAAGTTGCTGTGGATAAATGTTAAATGGGTAGTTATAAACAGTTCTGCAGGGGTTGAGGTACATAGCTTAGCATGTACAAGCCCCTCCCCCTGACAATACCCCAAAAGGACAGCCATGCAGCTTAGGGTATGTAGCAGCCACAGTGGTCACCACTGATCACCACCTCCTGGTTTTCACAGCCTTAATCTTGGTTATCCGAGTTTAGTGTCTTGCTCCTGGCGAACAGTATAGTAGAAGTCATGATATTACTTTTACTATCAGGTTTTTAAAAGTGGCTTCTGTTGGTGCCTTTTGCTTCACAGGGGAAGCTAGATACTTTACTGCAAGCTACCCCATGAAGAGCTCCATGTGCCCATCAGCCAGCACTGGCATAAGCCTGCCAGCGGTCCACGTGAGAACTTAGAAACCTTTTCAGCCAAGCCTTGATCATGGCGGCCTGGCCAGTACCTTGGTTGCTGCATCTTAACATTCATTACCAACTTGTGTAGCTTCACCCAGATACCTTATGGTTAATAAATGTCTTGGGCCGCCAAGGCCTTCTGACAACTGCAACTGTGGGGAGTCATTAACTGTCTAGACCCTTGCCTCTCAGACATTTGATGTAGTTGCCCAGAAACCCTTAATTTGTTGAAATCTTAAAGTGGATTTTGGGCCTAGAATCCAAAGAAATATATTTGTTAGAGGCATTTGTGTGGTAGAAAATGAGTCCTGTTATAAAGAACTACGTGGGATTTGAGGAATAGAGGGAGAGTTTCTTGGAAAAGTACCCAAGTGTTGAAGGTCCGGGTCGCTTAATTGTCCTACACTTGGCTACCAGGACAGAGACACTCCTAACATGAAAAAAATAATTAAACAGTATCTTGTTAAAATCTGCAAAAAGAGCAGAAATACTGAAACTTCCATGGAAGCTGTAGATACTAGTCAGTTGAACCCAGAGAGCACAGCAAAAGGGAGAGAAATGTCAGTCTTCTCTGCCGTGAACGTCACTCCTTATGGGTGACCATAAGAGCCAGAGTCCAGTTTCCAGTCCGGGAGGAGGCTGAGATCCAGACAGTGACCAACTAAGCCTCTGAGAAGCTGCGAAGACTTAGTTTTGTGTATCGCACTTTGGTGTCAAGGTGCTTGTCTTTGACATTTTCCTCTGGAATCTAAATCCTGAAGCATAATGACTGAACAAGGTGCTGTTGTTCAATTCCCACCCTTTCAGACTAAGCACCAAGGACTATGAGGAGTGGCCGTAGGAGATACTTAGTCCTGCAGATAAGGTTCCTTCATGTGTAAAGTCCAAACCACCACTGAGGCTTTCTTCACTGCCTTAAAGGGCTTCTCTGTAAGTTCGGTGGAAGCTGCACGTCAGTAATCCCAGAGACCCCTGCCTAGACCTGTACCCACAGGTGACAGAGTAGTGGTCATGGAGAGGGAACATTTTAACCTAGATTGTACACTCCCCATCCAGGAGGGGGATCAGAGAAACAAAACAAAACACCGCTGTGACCTTAACAAGCCTTTCTCAAAGTCCTGCCTTGTGATTGTCTGATCCAGGCAGTTCCCAGATTCTGCAGAACACTACATTCCAACCTAACACCTTAGCTCATACTTGCCTGTCACCTTACTTCCTGCCTCATACAATGCGAGCTCCTTAAAAGCAAAACCAAACCTGTGCTGACCAGTGGTGGCACACACCTTTAATCCCAGCATGGGAGAGGCAAAGACAGATGGATCTCTGCATTCGAGGCCATCTGGTCTAGACAGAGAGTTCCAGGACAGGTAGGACTGTTCTGGAACACAGAGAAACTGTGTCTCGAAAAACAAAACAACAAAACCCCGGCTTCTGCCTTCAAAGATGCCTGATACCTAGCAGCGTCTTGACATATATCCAGTAAATTAGGTATTTGAGTTTTTATTCT